TAAAATTTGTGTGCCCCTAATTCTATATTGGATTTCCTGGTGTGTGAGCTATTTTAAAATGAAGAAATCAAGGAAAAAGCGCATATTAAGCTAGAATGAGCAAGAAGCATGCGCATTAAAGAATCACATTGTCTAACTGTGGACTGGCTGGAAAGATAATAGTTTCTTAGCAGAGATATTCTAAGTCAGAATCTTAATGACTATGGCCATAATATTAAACAGTTGCCATTTGCAAATTACCTTGTGAGTACTGTGCTCAACAAAGAAGTGGGTTGCTTTTTATCAATAGTGTCTATAAAATAGGATAAGTATGATGTTTATTTTTCACATTGGAAACTGAGGCTCAGGGGGGATTTGAGCCCACATCTGCCTAGCTCCAAGCCAGTGTTCTCTGTGCAGCACTTACTGGCTCTGTTAAAATGTCTAGAACTGACCTTCATTACCCATGCCTCAAGGGTATATGATTCTGCAGAAAAGATTTTTGATGGGAAACAAGGAAACCCAAATCCCAGTTCTGCGCACTCAGCAGCTAGTTCTGGAAAATGTGCCAAGTCACTTGAACCTTTGGGTCTCTTGTTTCTTTTCCTGTTGAGGAAATTATGTTTGCTCCATCCATCTCCTAAGGTTTTTATAAGGATAAAATGAGTTAATAGCTAGGAAAGTGCCTTGCAAACTTGAGTGATGCACAAATAAAGGGCTTACATTATTAAATTTTTGATAATGTTGGGCCGTGTTTTTCATAACGCTCATGTTGTGTTTTGATTGAATTTAAAAACCTTGGGCTGATTCTTCCTGTCCCTTGCCAGTTTTTGGCCTTGGATCTGCAAGGACGATGATTTTCTGACTAAGAAAAAATTGTTCCCAAACTATGGATTTAGGACAGAGTTAAGATGCACTATAGCTCAGTGCTTTCTTCTTGTTGGAAATTTGGGACACAAGAAATGGCTTCTCTTTCAAATGTTTCTTTTCTATCATCAAGCAGCTGATCAGAGTGTCCTTATTTATTGTCTACTCCATACCCAGCTGTGGTCAGGACCCCATGGGACCTAGGAATCAAAAGGCCAGCTCGGGTCTCAGGGTTTATTATGAAAGGTGGGAAAAAGAGAAATAACCAGGAGGCAGTATGGGCCTGCGCACACCCCACATGTGTGACTCACACTGTAATGCGAGTCAAGCCGAGACGGCGTTCTGCTTTAATATCTGGGGACGCCTCACGGAGGAGGCACTGAGGTCTGAACTGGACCTGAAACATTAGCATTTGACTTGAGGTTTGGGTCTGACTGGGAGTGAAGAAAATGGTCATAGGTGGCAGGGGCAGGGAGGAATAGTATAGGTAAGTTAAAGACAGAGATTATCTGCATATTTAGGGAGGTCTGGAAAATTGCATTGAGTAATCAAGGGAGAGAGAGGAGGAGGTGGAGGCTCTGTGTGTGTGTGTGTGTGTGTGTGTGTGTGTGTGTGTGCACATGCGTGTGTTTATAGGGTTGGACCACATGCTAAAGGACCTAGAAACCCAAGTCTTAGAGCTGTGGAGCAAAGTCAAGAGTGGAAGGTTCAGAGTGAAGGAATGACAGTGAGGTGAGGGACAGAGACAGAGAAGGCAAGAGGCAGGCGTCTAGAGACCGTGTGCAGGCGTCTGGCTGGCAAAGTTGTCATGAGAATGGAGAAGAGATTTACTGGACAGACATCTTTAGGATGAAACCTACAGAGTTCAGTGACAGATTGAATAAAGGAATTCGGAGGGAGGAAGAGGAATTAAAACTAACTCCACTGAAATGTTTTGATTTAGAGGTTACACGATTTTCCTTGCCTGGTTCCAAGATTCTCAGCTCTTCCATAAAATGCGAGTAGTTGACAGCAGCAACTCATTTCCAGTGCTTAAATTATTCCAAGTTCATTTATGAATATTTCATTTTTAGCTAACTAATTGGTCTTGAGGATCTGAATTATGAATGCAGCAAGTTGGAAGATTAGTTTTGTCACCATCGTGTTTGAGACTTTCCAAAACTTTCAAAGCTGAGTTTGTTTCTTCCTTGCCATGGGATGGTGCACTGCTCATCAGTTTAATTCACCCAGATTTATTGGGTGTCTGCTGTGTAGGGCACCGGGTTAGGTGTCGAAGGGGTATAAAGAATAATCAGGACAAGGAGTCTACCTTTGCGGAGTCTCAGTCTGGGGGAAGAGAGACTCGGAGATGACTCTGCTGTGTGGCACACTGTGTTGTCCCCTGCATATGACGCACTGTGGCTTGCACACACTAGGCACTGAGGTTCGCACACCGTAGGCATTAAGGCTTGTGCACTGTAGGCACCGTGGCTTGCACACAGTAGGCACCATGGCTCATGCACTGTAGTCATCAAGGCTTGCACACTGTAGGCATCGAGGCTCATGTGGGCACAGTGGTTCTTGCATAATGGGCACCACAGCTGCAATCTGTGTGCTCTGGCAAGTCAGTGTGGAGAAAACACTGTGTACCCCGCAGCACTGAGTTTGCCAGCCTCAAGGTTAAGGGCATATTCTCCACAGGACTGCCAAACTGACCCAAGACTCCTGACATGAGATACAAATTTGTGGGGTCCCCTGAGCCACCCTCACTTCTCACCAGCTAGCTACAAATTTGGAGGTCCCCATGGCCTCCCTCAGGTTTGGTAATGTGCTAGAACAACTCACAGAACTCAGGAGAGCACTATAATTATGACTGTAATTTTATTATACCAAAAGGATACAAATCAAAACCAGCCAAAGGGAGAGATGCATAGGCAAAGTCCCAGGCTGGGAAGGCCCCAGACCTGGAGCTTTTGGTCTCTGCAGAGTCCCCGACTGTTACCTCCTCCCAGCTACAGTGACTGACAATACTCAAAGAGTATTTCTAATCAGGGAAGCTCACACGAGCCTTGGTATTCCAAGTTTTCAATGTGGCTCAATGACATGCTGCCCACATAGCTGACTCCTTCCTGGAGGTTGAGACTCTTACTTTATTCTCTTGTTCCTCCAGGGGTTGGAATGGATGCGCCATGTTCCAAAATCCCCATGATAAATTGCATTGTTTGTCTGGTGGTCAAAGTCCCCAGACAAGCAAAGGTGCTCCTCCTATCAAGAAGGACATCCAGGGGCCTGGAGATCACCTCCCAGTAGCCAAGGCTGAAGGCCAGACCCCTCTTTGGGTAAAGTCAATTCTTCACTGCATCCTCATAGAGTATTTCCGGGGAGTGGTTTGTACCTGTAGGATGTCAGAGTCTGTTGCTGAGGGTTAGACTTTTAATAAACCGTTGTGCACCATGTTCCTGCGACTCAGCTGACGTGACACAAGGTGGGTGTTTTATAGTCTCTCTGCTAATTCAGCTTCTCTGATATTAATTGCTGCTTCAGTAGGTTGTACAGGCACACGTTCTTGCAAAGAATTGTAAGAAGCAAAGTGTTTATGACTTTGAGTAGGTGGCTTACCCAGACTCTGTGTCTTCTATTCCTTCCCCTCCCATTTTCCGTACACAGGGGTTGGTTCTCCTGTAAACACCCCTTTGCTCTCCTGGGTGAATTCCATGGTATGCCCGTTATTTGTTTTATCTGGTCTCTCTGTTGGTTTGCCCTCCTGTCCTTAAGTACCTTTTCCTGACTGGTGCTCTCCCTGCCCCAACACACCCAGGGAGATAGAGTGAAGGTTGCAATCGTGCTGACTGCCTGGTTTGGATTGCTCAGCCAACGCTGGCCGAGTCACTCTTGGCGTTGCAACTCAGCAGCTCTGCTTCAGCAAGTGCTCCCCTTTTCTAGGAAATCGCCTGTTCTATTCTAGTGCCCGGTCCCCCTGAGGTCTTGGGGACCTCGCACCAAGGCAGGCTCCTTTGTCCTGAGGCCCCATTGTAGGCTGCTCTGTCCTTGCAGACCCTGCCCCAGAACTATCCAGTCTCTGCTTCCCTCTGCCCCTGTGTCCTCCCTTTCTGATATATGAGCACGAGTGACAGACTTCACGGATCCTCATGGTGGTAAGCAGTGGATGAAGTGGCTGGTGTCTTGTTGCACAGAGCCACAGCTTGAGAGAGAGCAGGCAGGGACCTGAAAGACTTGACAGGTAAGCATGAACCCAAGGTGGCGCTGGAACCTAGGACTCCTCCCCTCCCCCCGATTTTCAGGTTCCTGGAGGATGCTCAGGTGCCATGACTGACAACTCTAGCCTTGGCGGTGTCAGCCTGGCTGCTGGTGGCTCCCTGCTTGGCATGTTCCAGGGGCGCCACTCATGTCGTGTCATCTAAAGACCATGCCCCCACACAACTGTCCTCAATGCTCTACTCCCTGAGCTTGCTCAGCCTGTTCATTTCCCACCTTCATTCTTGAGATGTGCCTTGAAAACTAACACTGATTAGGAAGAAATACACGTTGTAAAATGGTTTGGAACTTGGTCTAAAGCAGCTCTGATCATGTCATTTAAAATCACCAGGTCGCTAGGAAACTTGAAAAATATTGTTATTGTCTTTGGTCCTATAATTTGTGACTTTAGATTGTAGTTAATTTTTCTCTTTCTCACCAGGACAATTTGACTCTAATAATTATGACTCCTTGAAATCAGCTGAATAGCTGTGTAACTCATTAAGATCATGACAAACTCAGCAGCCTTTGAGAGCCCTTTGCAAAGAAGTCCCTAAGCATTTTCTGAGAACTGGATTTCACTGGAAATGGGGGTTAACAAGGGGCAGGATTTGTGAACTGGGGACCAGTGACCACAACGTAAAACGCTTCCAGCTCTGCAGAAGGAGGATGCGGTGCACAAAGGTTCTGATCAACTGATAGTCTTGAATTAGAATATTACAAATTCGATTACCCATGCGTATACAGACGCAATGATATTAGCACTAAAGATAATTGTTTGCAGCTGTTAATCTCTGGGATCGCTTCACACTTTGTAATAAAACGTGAAACCTGAACACATCCTTACACTTGGAATCTGAGTGCCCGCCCTGCACTGTTGTCACCTATGACTTCGTCGTTCCTTCTTGTTTTGTTTGTAGAGTTTTTGGTCATGAAGAGGAAGAGAGGCAGGCCTAAGGGGTCCACAAAGAAGCCCAGTGCTGAAGAAGAGCTGGCGGAAAATACCGTGGGCCCAGCTGAGGACAGTCTACTGGCTTCTGAGGAGGGGAGCAGCCTGGCTCCGAGCAGTCTGGAGTGCAGCAAGTGCTGTCGGAAGTTCTCCAACACGCGTCAACTGCGGAAGCACATCTGCATCATCGTGCTGAATTTGGGCGAGGAGGAAGGAGAAGCAGGTAAATGCGGCCAAAGGGCTGGACGTGTCCATTTCTTGCAAAGAGATGTAGCTAGTAGCATCGGTTTTTTTGCTGGTTTGGTTGTTACTTGCAGGTAGCACATGTTTATATCCAACGGTCTCGTCCATCTGGAAAATTGTTTACTTTCCTAATGACAACTGGCCATTACTGTAAGTTATCTTTGAAATGAATGTGTCATCTGGTGGTTAACACCCATAACATGCAGGTCAAGGGTACTTATATTAAATACTTCGGGGGTTGCAGGGATAGTAAGACACAGTCTCTGCCCTTGTTGAGCTTATGCTCTGGGAGAGATAAGGTTTTATTTTATTTTATTTTTTGAGTTGGAGTCTCACTCCATTGCCCAGGCTGGAGTGCGGTGGCACACTCATGGCCATCCCAGTGTCGACCAGCTGGGCTCCAGAGATCCTTCCGCCTCAGCCTTCCAAGTAACCAGAACTACAGGCACGCACTACCACGCCTGGCTAATTTTTGATATATTGTAGAGACGAGGTCTCGCCAAGTTGCCCGGGTTGGTCTCGATCCCATGGGCTCAGGCAGTCCACTCACCTCAGCCTCCCAAAGTGCTGGGATTACAGGCTGAACCACCAAGCCCCGCTGAGATAGGGTTTTAAAATGCAAAGTGATAAAGAATAATACATTGTCAGGAGGAGAAAGCGTTCTGATGTGAAGTCAGTAGTGAGCCCGGTGTCACAGTTTGGGTGGTTTGGATTAAAGGAGGTAGGGACATCTTAGTGGGTATGGGGCCATGCGAGCAGAAGTACAGAGATGAGGATGCTCAAGTCCCCTGTGAGGCACCGTGGTTGGCCAGCAGTGGCTCTGGATGAGATTTTGGTGGGCATTCTGAAAGAAAATCAAGAATATTGAGTACATCCTCTGGATAAGTTCTTGGTCAGGCTTCAGCTCTGATGCAACCTCTAACGGAGTGGGGTGAATGTGAGCAGAGAGGGAAGCCACCGAGGGCTAGCATGTCTGTGGTTGACCATCCTAGGAGGAATGAAATAGCAGGGCTGCACTGGAGGAGTACGGGCCTCTGCTGTGGGTTCTGTTATGGTTTGGTCTTTGCACCATTTTTGAAGTCTTCAAAATGTACTCCATGTTGAAGAAGTACTTTCTGTTTTGTACTGTGCTGAGCATGGGAGCTGGTTCTGGCTGAGGACCTTGGCTCTGGAATATGGCTGTCTGAATCCCAGCTTAAGCACTCACTAACTTCCTTCTGCCTCAGATTCCTCAACTGTAAAGTGGGAATAGAAGCAGTACAGGAAGTCCCCAGCATACATTCCAAGAGCACATTTGTAAGTCCAATTTGTTTTTTTTTTTTTTTTGAGTTGGAATCTCACTCTGTCTGTTTTAAGTCCAGCATGGTTAGCCTAGGTACCCAACTAACACAATCAACTATATAGTACTATATGTATTTAGCAAGCTATACTGACACCTGGTGGAGAGAAATAATACATTAAAAAGTGCAAGTGTGCATCGTTCAAGTTCATAACTCGAAGGTTCATATGTAGGAGACTTGCTGTACTCTCTCAAACAATTGCTTTGAGAATTAAATGAGATGGCACCTGCAAAGTGCTTAGAACAGCAACTGCCCTATCAAAAGCACCTGGTAAATGTTAGCCATTATTGTTAGCTGTTTGTAACCATATGGATACAATACTTCTTTCTGTTTCACAGATAAGGGCATTTAGACTGTGCGCAACTAAGTAAGTTATTCAGGGTTCTTTAGTTAGTAAGGAGACCTGGCCTTTGAACCCAGGCTGTCCTACTCTGAACCCCTAGCCTTAAGTTCTTTGCTGTAAATCCTCCTTACAATGAACTTGCCACAGGTTGGGTGAATTGTAGAGTAACTCGCCAACTGATATTTCTGAAACATCCAGGTAGGTGGCCAAAGATCACTGTCAATGTCTGGGCAAGTTATAGAAAATACCAGACAGTGTATTCCTTCCCTTTAAGAACCCACAAGGTGATTCTGTGAAACCTTTTGAGACTGCACAGAATAACACACGAGGACTCAAAGGAGGCAGTGAAGTGGCAACTGTCCCAAGATGGAGTGTGAGTAATCGCCATGTGAGAGGTAGAAGCAAAGGCTGCTGTGATGTCAGAGGGATCATCGTCGTGCTTCAGATCCTAAAGTCCTTTCGGCAAATAAAGATAATTTTAGAAATGAGATGGTTGGGGGAAGAAGGATTTGGATGTACCTCCCCTGAACCCGAAGCTCTGATTTCAGTGGATTTGTTAATCACTGGATTTGGGTTTCAGAGTCTGTCCCCCTGCCATTGCTCTTCTTCCTGTGCTCATGTTCTCTCTATCTCTCTCTGTCTCTCTGTCTCTCTGTCTCTCTGTCTCTCTCTCTCTCTCTCTCTCTCTCCTCTCTCTCTCTCTCACACACACACACACACACACACACACACACACACACACACACACACACATACACCTCCCATGCATGCCCCCCACTGTCTTTTTCTGGCGTAGTTAGGCAGTGGTGTCACATTTGGATCAGAGGGGCCAGCTCTGGCCATCAAGGCAGCTCTGCTGTGTGTAGTTTCTGCTTTGCTCGAGTCCTTTTGAGAATCCGGTTCTCTCTGATCATTCACTGCTGTCTTCCTGAGAATCTCGTTTGTTTTTGTACCTTCCTGTCAGGTTCCTTCTGAGAGACTCCTGAACTTGCTGCCCAGTTGTGGCTAGAAATCAGTGATTTTGCTCTTTTGCAGCATCAAATATTTCTGCTTTCCTCTTCTTCCAGACCACAGGCTTGAATCTAACTCTGAGGCTCAGAGTCAAAAGCACAGACCCTGGAGGCTCAGAAGTCCAGTCGGGCCTACGGGTGTTCCTCAGTCTGCACTGCCCTCGGGGCCACCTCTCTAAAACGCCATCCTTCTGTGCCTTCTTTCTCAGTGGAATGCAGAATCTCTGCGGGAGGTTCAAGGCCCTCACCAAAACCATCTTTCCATGTGGCTCTGTGGTAGCATTTGTCAGTGCCGTATAGTATTCCGTTGTTTGGACCGACCAGGGTATGACTGATGACAGCTTAGGCTTTTGTCCATTTTTTGCTGTTATAAATATTGCTTTAATAAATATTCTTGTATTAATGTGTGTGTGTGAGTGTGTGTGTACGTATTTATAGGCTTGTTATTTTTGTAGGATACTTTCCTAGAAGCAGACTGCTGGGTCAGAAAGTATATCACATGTTGCCAGATTTCTCCCCAGAAAGCGCACACCAAATTCAATTCCAAAAGTGTCTGACAGTGCTTATTGAGTGGTATCACTTTGCTTTTTTTAATACCTGTAATGATACAGAAAATATTAGGGAGAAAGTAAAAATAGTCCAAAATGTCTCTGCTTTGGCATAATGACTGTTCCGCTGCCTGAAAAGGAGACCCTCCTCCATACTGTGTTTGCCCACGGGCGTTTTTCAGAAATGGGATCATATGTAATATTCTGTGATCTTTTCTCCCTCACTATTGTGGCAGATTAATTTTTCACGAATATATATTTTTATTTCATAAGCTGTATTCTGGAGGTTTTTTATGTTACAGGTGCTGTTCTCAGTGCTTTACGGTGAACGGCTCTTTTAATTCTCATAGTGACATAAGGGGTGGGCACTGTGATTACTCCTGTTTTACAGAAGAGGTAACTGAGGCACCGACAGGTTCAGCAGTTTGCTTCTGTGACACAGCCTGTAAAGTGGTGGCGAACCAGGTGGGCTGGCCTCAAGGTCTATGCTTTACTGCTTTGCTCCAGTCCTGACCCAGAACAAACAGTAAACGTGGATTGTTGTCATTTTTAAAGGCTGTGCAGCATTATGCACGGGCCATAAATTTTACCTTGTCGGTCTCTAGTTGATGGACATTTAGAATTGTTTCACTTTTTTTCTGTGATCCAAAAGACGCTACTCAAGTGAAGGGCCTTGAGCATGCATTTTATTGTATTATTATTATTATTTTTGCCCTTGTGCTATCATTATTATTTTAAGTAAATGCCCAGTAATGGCAATTGCTGAGTAAATAGGGCATATTTTACGTTTTGACACAAATACATATTGTCAAACCACCCTGAAGGAAGCATGTATCAGTTATTTTTCCATCATGGGCTGTGTCCTTATGTTCCCTTTGTCCTCTTTATCCTGAGTCTTGTCAGTCTCTATGCTTGCTCATCTCTTATGTGAAGGATTTTCTAATTGTTGTAATTTATACCTCTCTGGTCATTAGTGGACTTTTTGTATATAGTTATGAGCTATTTGTGTTTTATTTGTGTTTGGGTGTATTCCTCATTTATGCCCTTTACTTATTAGACCTTTGGATTATCTTGTATGCAGAACATATTTTCTGTAGTTTGTTGTTTGTCTCTTAATTTTCTTTGTAGTATTGTTTTCTTTTTCTTTTGCATTTTGCTTGGGTTTAAAACTTCTATATGGACACTACTGTCCCGTGTTTCTTTTAAATTTCTTGCCCTTTTAATCATAGCTTAGGAAATTTACCCCATACTCTAAAGTTAGAACAAATATGCTTCCATATATTTCTCTGTTATTTGTATGGTTTCATTTTTTTTTTTTTTTTTGAGTTGGAGTCTCACTCTGTCGCCCAGACTGGAGTGCAGTGGCCGCTCCCGGCCACCGCAGCCTCAACCTGCTGGGCTCTGGAAATCCTTCTGCCTCAGCCTTCCGAGTAGCTGGAATTGCAGGCACGTGCTACCACGCCCGGCTGATTTTTTTTTTTTTTTTAAATTTATAGTAGAGATGAGGTCTCACCAAATTGTCCAGGCAGGTCTCGAACCCACAGGCTCAGGCAGTCCACTCACCTCAGCCTCCCAAAGCGCAGGATTACAGGTTGAGCCACCGAGCCCGGCAGGTTTCATTTTTATCTAAACCTTTGATACGTCTAGATGCTATTTTGTAAAAGTGGCAAAGTAAGACAGTTACGCAGCTGACCCTTGAACAATGTGGGGGATAGGGAAGTTGACACCCCTGTACAGTT